ATCCTTGAATGGTAGTTTATTGTGCACCCCATACTTATCCGTGAATGGTAGTTTATTGTGCACCCCATACTCATCCTCTGGTAGTTTATTGTGCACCCCATACTCATCCTCTGGTAGTTTATTGTGCACCCCATACTCATCCTCTGGTAGTTTATTGTGCACCCCATACTCATCCTCTGGTAGTTTATTGTGCACCCCATACTCATCCTCTGGTAGTTTATTGTGCACCCCATACTCATCCTCTGGTAGTTTATTGTGCACCCCATACTCATCCTCTGGTAGTTTATTGTGCACCCCATACTCATCCTCTGGTAGTTTATTGTGCACCCCATACTCATCCTCTGGTAGTTTATTGTGCACCCCATACTTATCCTCTGGTAGTTTATTGTGCACCCCATACTTATCCTCTGGTAGTTTATTGTGCACCCCATACTCATCCTCTGGTAGTTTATTGTGCACCCCATACTCATCCTCTGGTAGTTTATTGTGCACCCCATACTTATCCTCTGGTAGTTTATTGTGCACCCTTCCCTTTGTTATTGTTATTATATTGTGCATATTTTGGAACTGTTCTTGGCGTATGTTCCCTGTGTATATTATGTGACACGAGACTTGTCATGTATGATAGCGAGTATACACTGTGAGACTGTGTGGGAGGTGTGGAGACAATGGCGGCCGTTACCACCAGAGGGACACGCCGCCCGTCACCCGCGCTCACCTCTGGAACACAGTTCACCAGTTTAACTCATTTTCTGGTAGGTGAAGGCAATTTGTTGTCTGAAATTGATCTTCACGATGCTCTGACTCATAGTTGCTGTGAGTTTATTCTTGGAAAATGTATCCAATAGTCCCCGGTAAAGTTGATAGATAATTAAATAATTCTAGTATTTATATAATTAATCTTGGAATTATTTAATATGTTTTTCTAGTAAAATTATCGAAACATAAAAATAATATTTACTCATTATTCTGGAACTGAGAAAACCTGGACCTAGATTCAGGAAGCTCTGTGTATTTCTTCGTAAGTGGGTTTGCTACGAAGGTTCCTAAGTGCGCCCTAAGAAGTTGCTTAGGTGCGATTCAATAAGGTATACTTAGGAAGAAAATTGTTGGTTCACCTGCGTGCCGATAGAGGTCACTACTGTGTTTCGTTTGGCCAATCAGAGAGCAGCAACATTCTTCATATTGAAGATTTAGCGCTGGCTTATCGGAGCTCTACTGCCTCCTATTTACGTCGAATTTTCTTATAAAATTAGTATATTTCGAAGTAAAACAATGTTTTTTCAACTTCTACAGCCAGCACGGACATTGTAGTAAACAAATATGTTACATTTGTTGTTTACCTACGTAATTCTAAGAGATACTGTGTAGCTGTCCTTGTTGCTCGGAAGATGCGCTGACAATTATTGTATATATTTACTGAATTTACTCAATGGCCACTAACTATCTAGTGACCTCGAAGAGGACAGAAAGCCGGCGGCTTGTTAAAGGGCCCGCCAATTGAATTAATGTTATTTTTTAGCTGGAATTTGGCATTTACGGCTTCGGCGGGTAGGCGGTTCCATGGGTTTATAGCCCTCTTGGTGGAAAAAAAACATCTGTTTTCTGTCCTACTTGAGAGAACATACTCTCCAACACTATATCTGTGATTGTCCTGTTATCAGTGGCTTCATACCAAATGGTATGAGGTACTTTGAGCTCTGTAATTACTTCATACACTCAGGAATATTGGAAGATATTCTTGTGCTGCACCCAGATTTTGCCAGTGGAGGCTAATAGATCAGCATTAAGTATTTTGTTCTCTCCTAATTCCATGTATGACTGGCCATCCTGTGAGGTGAGGATGTTGGGTGAGCTTGTAGCTGGTTTTTGATCTACACTGTGTGGTCCTTTATACAGAATAGGGAAGCAGCACATTGCTGTGTATACCTAAACATGTTTAAAAATACATTGTTTGAGAGGAGTTTTGTAGAAACTGGTAAGAGTAATTATAATATAATGTTTCCATGATTCAGTGCTTACCTCTTGTGAAAATTGCTTAGAGTTGTTTAGTCAGAGTTGATTTGTTTTTTGTATTGAGGCTGGTATTTTCTAAATTGATTCCATGTACAGTATGTCTAACCATCCTGTGAGATGGGAGTATTAGATAAACTTATAGCTAGTTTTTTATCTACACTGTGTAATATTCCATATAGAATAGGGTAGCAGCACATTGCTGTGTATACCTAATCTTCTTAATAAAAAAATCAGTAATAAAGATTTTAAATTATAGTTTGTATTATTACAAATACAGTACTGTATTATCCTTATTAAATCATGTTGACCATGGATCATTAAGATCTCATGTTGATATGTAATACAAGTCATATTCTTTTGAACTGCTAATCCATGCTAATCATTCATTAAATTGTGCATTATGTCTTAATTTTTCACTTCCTTGGATATACTGTACAGTACAAAAAGATAGGTTAAAAATAAACCAGTAATATTTCTTTCATTATATTTTTCATTTAAATAACTGCATCAATATTTTTACAGCTGACAGGATTTGTTTTCCCATACAGGTGCATTATTTGTTAAAAAAAAAATTGGTTTATTGTTACACACAATGGTGCTACATAGCCTTCCCAGCTTGGTGCCTTCTTTTAATACTTACTGATTAAAAAATAAATAATAAATACATTTTATTCAGGAAAAGTACATACAGTTGATTTACAAACATAATGTTGGATTTATAGGCAGAGCTAGTACATACAATACCTAAAGCCACTAATACTCATAGCATTTCGGGCAAGGTGTGGGGGGAAAAAAACACAGACTAAAACTTAATAGCAATTGAGATTAGGTATAAATTGTGTTGAAAGAAGGAATAAAAAATACAAAAAGGGGGTTAACAGAGCATAAATCAGCAATTGCACATGTTGGTGAATAGCGTTGTTTAAAAAATAGCAAGACATGGGTTGACATTTAGGAGGTAAGTTAGGTTACATGGAGTTAATTAGACAGTACTTGGTTTAACTCTTAAACTGGTTGAGAGAGGTACAGCCTTTGACATGATTCGGGAGGTCATTCCACATTCTGGGTCCCTTGATTTGTAGAGCACTTCTAGTTTGGTTACACACAGCCAAATTGAGTAACAGGAAGAGGTCTTGGACACAAATTTGTTCCATGCTAAATGTAGAGGAATCAGCTGAGTATTCCTCAAATAAAATAAGTTGCCTCAGCTTATAAGGTAAATAAAATAAGCATTTCTCAAATAAGTAGCTGCCTCACCTCACTGCCTTACTGCTACATAGCCTTCCCGGCATGGTGCCTTCTTTTGATAATTACTTGTTCCACACCCAAATTGTATAACAGGAAGAGGTCTTGGACCCCTACTTCCCTCTCTCTTTTTTAGTAGTCTATATAGTCATAATTATAGCTTTAAGTATTCAATGAATAAAGTTTTTGACATTTTTACCCTTTTCCTTACCTAACATCATTTGTGCAGTATATTTTTATTTTATGTCTCACCCAGATTTAATTTCAAAATAAAACCAAACTAAATAAATTAGAAATGGGTATGTATAGCTAAGGTACACCCTTATTACTAGGTGAACAGGGGCTAGGTGATAGTAAATGATCCCATCAGGCAGGGCTCATCACCTTCTCTCATATTTCATGTTCACCAGTGTTTATTTACTTAATAACTACTGGTATAATATCTTGCTATTATAAAACTAATTCTACTATCATCAAACACATATTTACTTCAAGTTTCAAGCAGAGAATGCATATATAACTAACACGAAGGACTCCTCTCCACTAGATTCACCAGCTATAATATTTTGGTCATGTTCCAATATCATAAATCGATCCCAGTGTTATGTAGTAGAGAAAAAAGGACTTATATCCAGTTTACGTAAAGCTACGAGTGATCGAAACCACACTTAAATCCCGGAATGAACTTACGAAGATTTTTCCACTTAGGGTAGTTAATTGAATACGGACGTAGCCGCCACGAAGGCGCTAAGACGGAAAACGCTCTTAGCTAAGAGGAAAAACCTTCGTAAGTACCTTCCTGAATCCGGCCCCTGATGACTTTTCAGACCTAACGGACCAGGTGACAGGTGGAGGGACAGTCTCCATTTTACATATATATAATATATATATATATATATATATATATATATATATATATATATAATATATATATATATATATATATATATATATATATATATATATATATATATATATATATATATATATATATATATATATATATAAATATGAGACCTAGAAACAGAAAAATTCGAATTTCACTTTAAAATTGGAGGGTTTGACAAGGTATTTATGCCTATGATAATATGGTATGGTTGCAGTGTACTGTGAGCGGCGCTTCGCCTTATAATAGAGGCAGTCGCGCCTCGGGTTAGTAATTAAGGCACCCGGAGGAAGCCTCATATATGATATAATACATAATTTGCTTGGAATTCCTTTGTAATATACTCTGCGTTGCTTTTATTAGAGCCTTTGCACCCGGTAAATATACCTTTTACTCTAAACTAATATGACACCTCTCTGTGTCGCTCGAGCAATTTTGTCGAACTGAATTGTAATAAAATTCAATATTTTACTGTTATAGTAAAACAAATTTCTTATGATTACAAGTATTATTTTGAAAGCTCTTTTCCAGGGGCTCAATTCTCTCTCAATATCTTGGTTTTTACCCAGGCTTCCGATCTGTAACAGGAACTTTACATTTCTTCCATTACTGAAAGCTCCTACAAAAAGCTGGGAAGTTTCCTAAGGCTCAACAGATATTTCTCATGTTCTCAGTTTCTTCAACGCAAAGTTTCATGAGCTCTTGTCTTGACGGCTGCTTTTGCCCCCTGTCAACACCGCCCCTGACGACTTGCCTCTGTCAACTCTGCCCCTGACTTAGATCCTCTGAACATCTTAAGGACAACTGCAGTACTCCAGCTACCATGCCATAACATGCTGTCCTACCGACAGCATTACTGAGCAAGCACCACACCGACAGCACCACACCGACAGCACCACACCGACAGCCCCACACCGACAGCACCACACCGACAGCACCACACCCGACAGCCCCACACCGACCCCTCACCGACAGCACCACACCCGACAGCCCCACACCGACCCCTCACCGACAGCCCCATACCAACAGCCCCACACCGACAGCACCACACCCGACAGCCCCACACCGACCCCTCACCGACAGCACCACACCGACAGCCCCACACCCGACAGCCCCACACCGACCCCTCACCGACAGCACCACACCCGACAGCCCCACACCGACAGCACCACACCCGACAGCCCCACACCGACCCCTCACCGACATCACCACACCCGACAGCACCACACCGACAGCCCCACACCCGACAGCCCCACACCGACCCCTCACCGACAGCACCACACCGACAGCACCACACCGACAGCCCCACACCGACAGCACCACACCGACAGCCCCACACCGACAGCCCCACACCGACAGCACCACACCGACAGCCCCACACCGACAGCACCACACCGACAGCCCCACACCGACAGCACCACACCGACAGCACCACACCCGACAGCACCACACCCGACAGAGTAAACATGGGTCCAGAGGTGAGGTGGATGTGTGAGGTGGAAGCAGGAGTCGGCGGCAATATTAAATAATCCAGACACATTTTGCTCCATCACAGTTATTTACCAGCTAAACAGATTGTGCATCTGAATTACTAATGTAATGTTTGATATGCAGCATCACACACACTTTAATATTGAAATATGGCGCCTGCAAGCGGCGGTGTCCGTCCGGCCGCGTCAACACTCTCCAACACGGGAACACCATTACCATCAAACACCATTACCATGCATAATTGCAATACCATTCAAACCTTTTCAATCTCTGCCTCACAAATATCGAATTAGATTATTTAGAAAATATGTTTTTATGATGTCTGTTTTTTTTCAGAGAGAAAACCAGGCATACAATGTACAATATGGTGAGGCGGGGGTTGGGCAGGTGTGGGGGTGGGGGGAGGTTGGGCAGGAGTGGGGTTGGGGGGTTGGGCAGGTGTGGGGGTGGGGGGGGGGAGTAAAGAGGAAGGAGAGGCATAGGAGAAGCCAATGTGCTCTTAACCAAGCACTGATGACTGTGTATCCTGTGTATCCTCAACACTTGTGTCAGTACACACACATCAGTGTGTGTGTACTGTACATCAGTGTACATGCAGCAGCTGACTCTAGTCGTAAACCCACAACATTTAACATTAATAAGCCACTTCGTGTTAACAAATACAGTGAATGATTAAATCAAAGTATCTTCACTCCTGAGAAAACATGTGTATGATAATTAACAAAAAACCCTCACGATAATAAAATGTATAAAAGGAGGAAAATTGTGGCAGTCTTCAGATTACGTCTCTGCTAACTGGATCGTTCTTCATCTTCCTGAGACATTCCCGTCACACGAATGTTGATAATATTTACTGGGGCGTCATGTTATGATTATAGTCTCTCTCTCTCTCTCTGTC